GTAATGGGAGACACAAACATTCTTTAGTCATATTTCTTACTTGAGTACTTCCTTGAGATAGATAGGGGGAGACTTAAGTAAATCCTGAAGAATAAAAATGGCGGCCTTCTTTTCTAATTGCTCTGCCTTGGACACAAAAAGGCAATAAATAATAATTGTTAGCCGTGGCTCACTACACTTGTACACTTCTTTTCACTTTTTTTACTCAACAAAGTTGTTCTCAACTGAGAATATTCCTGAAAATGGTTTGTGGCCCCCGTATTCGAGTAATTTCACATTTGATTAGATTCTCAACCTTTTAAGAACAAAATTATTCACATGACAAGTGACACTAATTGTTGATTTGAGTTATTGTTTTTGGAAGAGAATTTTTTTGGATTAGTAGCCAGCTTTGTAAAGTATCATGCCAGAAAGAATTCTTGATTTCGAAAAGTTTTTTCTCAATAAAGTTGTCACCAAAATTGATTATTGAGTTGAAGGAACAACCAACCGAAGACTCAAATAATTTTGACCATAGGGCATCTGTATTTAATAGTCTGTCAATCCAGGTTAATTTCATTAATATGTTGAAATTGAATATATTAATCATTTTTAGACCTCCCTTTTCGTAATTTTGAACAACAATTGATCTTTTAATTCTGTCTGGCTTATTATCCCATATAAATTTGAAGAAAAGCTGATTTACGTATTTAAAATAGTCATTAGGTGGATCAGGCAGTGAGATCAGAAGATTTGTTATTTTAGGTAAGACAAGAGATTTAATAACCGTAATCTTTCCAATGATTGTCAGTTTGCGCCTTTTCCATGCTGTTAAGACATTTTCCATGTCAAGTAGTTTTTTATAATAATTTTCGAGAACATCATTTAGATTAGTTGTTGAGAAATGCACACCAAGCAGCTCAAATTGAGTGCAACCCCACTCCAACTTCCACCTCGAGTGATGGTATACATCTTTAGAATATTTTTTGGATCCTAACCATAAGACTTTTGTTTTGAGAGATTTATATTAAGGCCAGAAAAAGATTCAAAATAGTCCAAGGTCAGCATGGTTTGTTTCAATGTTTCAGGAGAGCCAGCAAGAATGAATGTAGTGTCGTCTGCGTATTGTGAAAGAAGAAATTCCTCATTATTTATAGTAATTCCTTTTATATTCTTATTGCTTTTGATTATAATAGTTAAAATTTGCACACATATTATAAAAAGGTATGGTGAAATTGGATCACCCTGTCGGCATCTGCGTTCAAGGTTTATGCAACTTGGAAGAAAACCGTTTTGTAATATTCTTGATTTAATATTATTTTGAAAAATTTGAACCCATTTTTTTAATGGAAGACTGGAAATTGAAGAAATTTTATGCTTGTAGGATAAAATCCCATGAGATCGAATCGAACGCTTTTTCAAAATCAATAAGTAAAATCATTCCTGGTTTGTTCTTTTCATTTACGTAATTCATTATGTCATAGATTAATCTTATATTTTCACCAATGTATCTCAATCCAGTTTGCTCCTTACTATATAATTTTTATCCTATTGGCAATACAACCTGATGCAATTTTATATACCGTGTTTAATAAGGTAAGTGGTCTCCAATTTTTGAGGAGGTGTTTAAGTTTATTTTGTTTAGGAATTAATGTAATTAGACCTAGTTTCTGTACCTCAGAGAGTTCACCTTTTTCATAACAAAAATTTATTGCTCTGATGACAAAGTGACCAATGTCCTGCCAAAAAAGTTTAAAGAAATCAGCTGGCAAACCACTTGAGCCGGGGGAGCGCTCATTTTTCATATTTTCAAGTACTCTTTTGGCCTCCGAATAAATTATCTCCCCTTCTAGTGAAAGAGCTTCATAATCTGTCAATTTGCTAAAGTCAATAGTGGACATCTTTTCTGAAAGATTACTATATGGAATTTGTTTTGTTTTTTTTTCCTTAAAGAGTTTCTTATAAAAAGATTCAGTTTCAATCAAAATTTCACTTTGTTTATGAATAATAGAGTTATCATCCTTTTCCAGGTGACTGATTAATTTATTATAGTAGTTTCTGGACTCCATACTACAGAAGTATTTGGAAGGTTTTTCGCCCTCTTCAATCCAAAGGGCTCTTGATCTTATAAGGTTGCCTTTCAAGTGGAAGTTTCTTATTTCAGTAAGTTCCTTTTCAAGGGGTTCTAGTTTGTCAATCTTTTCTAAACTGGTCAAATTTACATTATTTTCGATGTCTTTCATTAATTTTATCAATTTTTTTTCTTTTTCATTTTGATTTTTCTTTTTGAAGATTGAATAAGAGATGGTTGTGGATCTGATTTCCATCGTTAACACATCAAGAAAGTCTGCATCGTTAGTATTAAATTGAATTAGGTTATTTTGAATTGTATCTACTGCCTTCCTATTGTATATTGGAAGGAGATATTGAAGTTTGATATCGTGTATTATTGTCTTAACTAACTCAATGTAGTTTTTATCTTTCAGTAATGAAGTGTTCAGTTTCCATATACCTTTTCCTGTTTCTATTGGAGCTAATTTTAAAGATAACAGGTGAGTGATCAGATCTATATTTTATATCAATTTTGACCTTATCAACTTTTAGTAATATGTTCTCTGAAACCATGATATAATCTAGTCTAGCTAATTTTAGGGGATTTTTTCTTTTCCAAGTATACTTTCTTAAATTCGGGTTGCAAGTTCGGAAGATATCATGTAGATGATTTGATGAGATTTGTTGGATCAGAAATTGGCGAGCTTTAGGATTATTAATATTTCTATAGTTTTCAGTATCAATGTTCGGGTTCAAAACCAAGTTTAAATCTCCACAAATAATAATTTTGCCAAACTCGTCCAACATTAAGAAAAGATGTTCATAGAAACAAGGTTTATCTTGATTCGGACCATATAAGTTGACTAGTGTATAAGCTTCGTTTTCTATTTTTAGATTTAAAATGATTAGATTTCCACCTTCATCATTGTATTGTTTAGATATCTCAAAGTCAAAGTTATTGTTCATCAAAATTGCAACTCCACGAGAATTATTTGAAAAAGAATTGTAAAAGCATTTGTAGCCCCATTGACCAGTTACGTAACTTTCAATGTTTTTCGTGAAATGCGTGTCCTGAAGACAATATATGTGGTGTTTTTTTTGTTTAAGATAGTTGAAAACATCTCTTCTTTTTTCAATGTCTCTAAGACCCTGACAGTTCAGTGTCAAAATTTCAAGTGAATTCATTTTTTTTCAAGAGAAATTCGGTTATTTTAGATTTGTAACTATTTATATTTAAAAAAATTAAAAGTCTTTTTCCTATTTTGTCATTATTTTGTACTGAGAACATATGAAAGGTTTTGGACAGTGGACATGTGGCATGAAAAGCATGCTTAATGAAAACATTTACAAAGAAAGAATTGGATATATAGCAATGCCATTTCGAACAAAAAGTAGATAATTTCATCCATATGACATCCTAACCATAAACATTTAACTCAAGTTGATAAGGCATCATGGTTTGTAAACAGAGGTGGGGGGTTTCATTATGGCAATAGTGTAAACATTACTAGAAATGGCCTGACCTAAGAGCTCATTAACAATTTTTTTATATTCAAATAATGACATTTGAAACAGTTGCTATTTTAAGATATAATATTTGAGTACAAAAAGATAAATATCTTCAGCTTTCAGTCTATGCATCCTTAATTTAAGATTACCTTATAAATTCTACAATATTAATTATAGTAGTAATGCATGGTATGGTCATGGTTAACAGTAATTACATAAGGAAAACTAAACATATTCTGAAATTATAGAAAAATAATTACATAAACACAATATTCTAGTTTTAGTCTTAGTTTAACGTTGATAAAAAACACATGTTGTAAATTTACATTAACTAGAAATACACTTCTTTCCTAGAAATTTCAAAAAATGTCCAATTTTGTGGCAGAAAATGTTTATATGTAAAAACCACTTTTAAAGTGATAATGTGTGCTTATGTTTATATTTGTATCAACGAAAATAAAGTTTAGACCAAAAGCACCATTTTGAGGCTGATATTCAATTTTTCATAAAAGAATCGGTAAATTGCGATATAGAATCGAACTTGCGCGACAGTAGTAATCTACACATCAACCATTGTGAAACAACACACGTTATATTTAGTATTCGGGGGATAACTAGAAAGTAAAAAGTATGGCGATGGCTCAAAATTTGATAATTTCTGATGAAACTATAGATGACGTGACATCTAACCCTCAGTACGTTGCAGACATTCCGTATACAATGGATATTTTCCCAGTTCCCATAAATAATCCCGAGGGAAAAGCACAAGATGCCTTGTTTGAGGATATCAATTTATGAACTATAACATCCAATGGCTGTATCTGACTTTTCCTCAAGACCCGTACCCACAGAGATTGAAGTCTATCGATATTATCTTCAAGAAGATTGGAGAAACTATAGACTACCGGATATCTTTCTATGTTACAACAGGAACCGCATTTTCCTGTCATCAAACGTCTGTTTCAGAGGATGCACAGGAATGTGGACGAACTGGTCAATGATTTCGAAAATGCTGTTGTTGTGGATTAATTTCCATTTTGAACCATAATAATTATTATTATTATATCAGTGCTTATTAGTTGTTTTAATAATTCTAGATCTTAATTTGCTTTGTGTGATTTGATGTTATATCTTATCTTTATTCATTGCTCGTTATTGTTACATCTGATGGTTTGTTGATTTCAATTCCCACTTTATGTATTCTATTTACCTTTTCATATCTGTGTCAATTTTCGTTGCTTATAATTTTACTTGATAAACAAGATGGCTGCCAGTGATAGATACTCATTAAAGTTCTCTGTAAACATCTCCAATCAAAAACGAAAACGAAAGAATTTGAAAAAAAAAAACATTATGAATTTATGTGTTTGTGAGTTGTTCGGTGTGATCAAGATTTTGGAATTATTCTGAGGATTATATTTACAGATAAGGATATTATTTCTTATTACAATTTTATCATCTATTCTGGTACTTAATTATTAAATTTACAAATAAATTAAAATGTATTGATATACTCATTTTTTCTTATACAAGTTGTTATATATTAGTTCTAGTCTTGTACGTTGTATTAGGTGACGGATTAACATAAGTCTCTGCTTTTTTCGAAACCCAGTTTATACTTTATATAATATATGTATAATCAATGAATAAAATATTGTTTAAACAATTGTATATTGTAAACCAAACAGGAACTGTTGCAGTAGGTTTTCTACTAAAACTATTCACTATCTTCCATTTGTTTCATTCAAAAACTACTTAATAACTGATAAGGTTACTTCACTATTTCTAAGTTTTATCAGCTCCATATTGGGAACAAGTTTTGATAGTGACAATCAAGAACAAGTCGACTCCATTAAGACAGGACTGAAAAGGGAATTACGATCATAATATGTAATTGAGTGTCTAATAGTACTATATTTTCTCTTCATCTTTGATAAGGAAAATATTACCTCAATTAATTCAATTTATTTTATGTGTTAGTCACATTATTATCGTAACAGTACATTTTCATATATTCATTTATTTTCTTCCTTATTTTTTGTTTATCATTTTGTAAATATGTTATTGTAGTTGTATGTAGAAAGATCCCAGGGAAGATTGCCTTGTGTAACTGGGTTTCTAATAAAGTTATTATTATTATTATTAGTACTATTATATATAATGAATATTTCACTGTGATTAACCGGACGGATAAAGTGTTGAGTATCTGTGTTACTTTAAAGGAAGAACAGTTCTATAAAAGTTTACAATTGTTGCTTTTCGGCCACTATACAACACAATCTAGAGCCTTCAGATGAAAAGTAAAATCATTCTGCTTTCTTGTGAAAAGTTTTGTCACATACTTTTTAACTGTTTGTATTGATATATGAGACACAAAGTAAGCTAGATAGGCCAACTGGTTAACAAGCCAACTCGCGTCGTCTGCAATGCTTTGGGTTTTTTTCTCAATATAGTTCAAAATATTTCTATATGACACTACTTTAGTGTACCAAGTGGTTATAACATTTTCCGTCTTTTCTAGATCGCGTTTTAGAAAGGATCAAAAGCCAAGATCATATCGAAGCGGAAAAATTAGAAATATTCAAGAAGATCTCTGTGGAAATTCAATTATTTACAGGTCTTGATGGATTATCCCCCCTATTTTGAAATTATCAGCAGAACACTTTGCTTCTCCTATAACCTATATGATAAACCTTTGTATATCTAAAAATGTTTTCCCCGACTAAATTGAAATGGCTAAGAGGCGTGGCTCCAAGTATTATAGATACAGGTAACAAGACAGGTGTAGTTTACCTAGATTTCAGCAAAGCATTTGATTTAATTGATCACAAACTTATAATGGAAAAATTAGCACTTTATAAATTTCATCACAATATCAATGATATAGCTAGCACTGAATAGAGATAATAGTCATTACCTAAGTAACTGTTTAGATAGTATCTAACTATGAATATTTGTTATTATATTTATGTTAAAAACTGTTTTTTCCTACAATGATTTGTCTGAATGGTTGTATCTCTATAATACTTATAACTATCTGAGTTAATCTAATCTAACTGTTAATCCCTAATACAATGTGAGTTTATTTTGTATTGTTTGAGCTGTTGTTCTGTTATATATAAGTAGTTATAGTTTTTTTTATGATAAATCATCACTTAAGAACGTTTCCTGTATGTGTAATGAAACGTTGTGTTTAAATAATAAATAGAAGTTTATATCCATAAAAATGTTGTTTCTTAAAGAGAGTGTACTACTTTATACGTATCATAGACTTAGTCTGCCAGTCATAAGCTAATATTACATTATTACAAGAGACCTACAGATCCCCCACTTTTTCTCAACTTGTCGGTAAAACGCGTAATCGGTGGGTCAAAGACGGTAATGGTTGGAGGGTTATCTCCCTTGAAACGTTCAGTTTGAGTTTTAGTTTGTAATTCTATGATGTGTTTTCTAATTCGTTTGAAATGAATTTATTCATAAGTAAACTTTTACTAGTTCAACAAAAGAGCGCAAAAATCGATACAAATATCGAATGTAATGTTGTAATGGATTTCGATTGCTTAGACAACGCAAGTTTATTCGATACACTGTGGTCGGTGCACCAAAGAATCTGTTTTAGGCTAAATGACTCGACCTGGATGAACTTCTCGTTTCCTAAGTTAAAATTTGAAACAATAATGATTACTAACTGCTCTATAGACGTATAGCGGAGTTATAGTAGCAAGTAGCAACAAACGATACACCATCCTCATCATGTCACGCTACGCCCCTGGTAATGTCTTGATCGACTCATGAACAGTGGCGTTTCTAGGAAATATTAGTTGAGGGGGTTTCAGGAGGGCTACAGGCTATTCTATAACTTTGTAAATTGTTAAAAATTACCAAAAGATGTGCTAAATTTGGCTTTTGTCATGGTGAAAATTCTAAAAAAACTAACGATCCGAAATTGGACCTGAACAACTTTCATTAAATGTGAGTTTTGTGTCTGGCCCTAAACGTCCCCATATAGCATCCATTTATCACGTCCAAGGAACGGGCAGAATCAGATTAGTCGGACTAGCAAATCGGTTGGATTACTTGGAAAACAGCGGATACATTTTAAATTACATACTAGTCCATATTCCATATATCCTCACCCACAAATATACACTACCCCTCCCCACCCTTTTCACACATCAATGGTGAATATACATTAGATATAATGAAGTGAAACATAGTAACCATTTACTGTGGAAGATAGCTGGCCCTGAAATAAAAATAAAATAGCTGCAGACCTATTACCAAACCAAGGTGCTTCATGAAAGCGAAAGTAAAATTGGTATTTTTGGGAATATTCTCCAATCATGTAAGACGATATCAGCTATCATTTCGTACAAGATCTAGAACTGGTGTACAAAATTTTTTATTTTGGCCTATTAAAATATTTTTATTCTGAAAATTTAGAGGAAGGCTGACGAAATGAAAACAACCGTCCGCTTAAATCGACAAGCACTGGAATGCAAATGGGGAAATAACACATTTTTGACTTTTTCCACGATTGTTACCAAGTGGTAACACCCCGCATAACGTAGTAACGGCTTTGCATCATAAATGAATGGAAACGCTGTCGGTCTCAACTATCATCCCGACATTGCAAAATCATGCAATTGAACGTGGTCCAACTACCAAATACTACAACTACCAACTACTACGACTACCAACAACTACGACTACCAACAACTACGTAGTATATCAGAATCTGCTGGAAGCGGATGTTAATCTGTCATCTACAATCAACCAACCCCGTCAGTCTTATATTCATGACACCCAAATAAATAAATATAATACTCCCTTGCAATAAAATGCAAGTAAAGCGTGTAAGACTCACCAGGCGAAGATTTCTCACAAATAAATCCCTTTAATCTATCACATCCTGCATCATTCATTCCTCCACTGTATTCTATACTAACACAATCTTCATTACCATTATAGTTATTAGGTTCTGTAGACCAGGGACTGAAAAATCAGATGAATACTAGATAAACATCCAGAGTTTTCAGATTTTTAACAGAGTATGTACTTATTACAGAAATTCCTCATAATGTTGACGAATACGAATACCTCTCCAAATTTTAATTTCATTTCTTTGTATGAAATGACATTAGTAATGCGCATATCTTACTTCCGGTTTTAAGGAGGTATTTGATTTCCTTAAACCTCACGTGTAATTCGACGCAAGTGATTTTGGATAATGATTAATGTTTCCAATCGTTGTGTAAGCGAATCGGGGGTTGTGGGTATTTGTTTCACATAAACCTCACAATGTAGCCACCTCATGTTACATTTAAACAAATATTCGTCGAAATAGACATCAAAATCGTGCGATGATTATACAATAGAAAGGACAAATTCATAGGGTTATCTTCCTACCAAGTACCAGAAAAGGACTTTATTCAAAACATGTTTCAGTGCCACGATTTCGTCCTCATGTCATTTAAAATTGGAATTGTACTGAATATGATGCGTGACTCGCACACGAGCGTTATGTCATCAACTTGTTTTGGCGCCCCCTCTTACTCTTCCTAAACTATGTATAGTTGAATACATACATGAGTCCATCCACACCAGACCAGTTATCAGAGTCATCAGGATACGTCCATTGTCCATTCACTATTTTATCATTTAGTCCAATCCACCACATATTAGGCCAAGTATCGATATCTCCAACTAATGACATGACATATTGCTAGAAAGACACAACCAAACATCAACTATCGAGTCGTCATTCAATCTGATTAAAATGCTACTTCGTTTCGTGTTACTTATTTGTTGGCAGGATCTAGATGTCTATAGGTCAGAAGGCGTCTCTGAATGACATAAACAACATGATGTGGTAAACAAGGCAAACATTGCAAAGGTAGTGCTCAAGAGCCTTGATAGGCAATTTGTAAAGATATGTAGCAATAAGTTAAAATTAAAAAAATCAATTAGAATATACGATGTTTACCATCTGAAAAAACCTGACTAATGCTGATGCACCCTCAGTTATCTTACATCGCCATTTTCCCCAATAATTTTTATTCCAATGAATCTAAGTCATCAATTTCGATGACAAGATTCAAGTATGAGAATCGCTGAATAATATAAGAGCCTTCTCAAGAACACAAATATATATTGAGGAACATACCATTTCTTGGGCATCATTCACAGCGAGGAGCTTTCCTTTCTTTCTCTTACAGATACTCAAAGCAGTTTCTCTGTCCGTCAGATCCACAGAGAGAAAGTAACAGTTATAATTGTATAAAGACCAACTATTAGGACAGTTCTCGCTTTCTACAAAGAATACAATAACATTCTCCATCAAGAGTAGCTCCAGAGTATGCATATTTCATGGTAAATTAACGTCTTGTTCCTGTTTTAAAAAAATCTTATGGTTTCAGCGGACTTAATAATTATGGGAAGGCGGGTGGGGTGGATTGGATTCCCCCCCACCCCCACTGCTTCTCTTTCAAATGTACATAGCGAAAAAATTTCCTGTGGAAACCAGTTGACAATTTTGTACCCCCTATTTGACACCCCCAACGAAACATCACTGTCCAGTAATCGAACATTGACTGTCCAGTAATCGAACATTGACTGTCCAGTGATCGAACATGGAATGTCCAGTAATCGAACATTGACTGTCCAGTAATCGAACATCGAGTGTCCAGTAATCGAACATTGACTGTCTAGTAATCGAACATTGACTGTCCAGTAATCGAACATTGACTTCCCAGTAATCGAACATTGACTGTCCAGTAATCGAACATTGACAAAAATTTCCAAAACCGAAATATTGAAATTTTATTTTATTTTACTTACTGTCCATTGGCTTTTCACAAACATAACCCAGTTGAAAGACAGTACAGGGGAAATCCATCTTCGTTCCATCTCGGTTTATACCAGCACAATGTTGATTGGGGATAGCATTCCTTGGACTTATTTCCCAATTTCTTAAAGAAAGTCAATAAAATAATGAATTTGCAAGTCAACAAATTCATCCTACTCTTCAATAAGATATGAAGAGGTTCTTTGTATTAAAGAATATTCTCATGATGGAGTTCTCGCCCCTGCTCACTGAGATCATTTACTTGACTTAAACACTTGAAGTCTAATTTTATCTAAGATTATCCGAAACAAGCGTCGGCATCATGAGTTGATTTCAAGTAAAATAAAGTAAAACACACAAGCCTACCAGTTCAATTATGAAAAACCAGATCATGGTATATATATGATTTTCTTATACATTGCATCGTCTCATTGGCTATGTTGCCCATCGAATCGGCGTCCAGTAATCTCGATTAAAGACTAGAGCATGTGAAATGAAACTGGAAATAAACTTACATCAAAGAAGAATCTGCTTCAGTACCATCCGCCCACACATACGTCCCTTCTGTTGACTGATCATTTAAACCTATCCAATATGTTCCTTGATCCATGACTTGTCCGGCTGACTGCATCGTCATATATCTCTGGAAAATATCAAATATTATATCGGCTAAATGATATCAAATACTGTAATATACCCAATAAGATTACAAAATATTGCCTTATACCAAAAATATCGTCATAAGTCCGTTAGACGATCATAAAATATCGTCACATTTCGCTAGAGGATCATTAAATATCGTCACATATCGTTAGAGGATCATTAAATATCGTCACATATCGTTAGAGGATCATAAAATATTGTCATATATAGTTAGAGGATCATAAAATATCGTCATATATCGTTAGAGGATCATAAAATATCGTCATATATCGTTAGAGGATAATACAATATCGTCATATATAGTTAGAGGATCATTAAATATCGTCTTATATCGTTAGAGGATCATTAATTATCGTCATATATAGTTAGAGGATCATTAAATATCGTCATATATAGTTAGAGGATAATAAAATATCGTCTTATATAGTTAGAGGATCATTAATTATCGTCATATATAGTTAGAGGATCATTAAATATCGTCATATATAGTTAGAGGATAATAAAATATCGTCATATGTCGTTAGAGGATCATTAAATATCGTCATATGTCGTTAGAGGATCATTAATTATCGTCATATGTCGTTAGAGGATCATTAATTATTGCTATATATAGTTAGAGGATCATAAAATATCGCCATATATCTAAAAAAAAAATATCTCCAACTATCTCTAGAAATTATAGAATATTGTTATATATCTCTAGAAAATTATAGAATATTGTTATATATCTCTAGAAAATTATAAAATATTATTATATATTTCTAGAAAATTATAGAATATTTTAAAATATCTCAAGAAAATTTTGAAATATTGCTAAATATCTCTAGAAAATTATAAAATATGGTTATATATCTCTAGAAAATTATAGAATATTGTTATATATCTCTAGAAAATTATAAAATATTGTTATATATCTCTAGAAAATTATAAAATATTGTTATATATCTCTAGAAAATTATAAAATATTGCTATATATCTCTAGAAAATTATAGAATATTGTTATATATCTCTAGAAAATTATAAAATATTGTTATATATCTCTAGAAAATTATAAAATATGGTTATATATCTCTAGAAAATTATTAAATATGGTTATATATCTCTAGAAAATTATAAAATATTGCTATATATCTCTAGAAAATTATAAAATATCGACAAATATCTTTAGAAAATTATAGAATATTGTAAAATATCTCTAGAAAATTATAAAATATCGACAAATATCTCTAGAAAATTATAAAATATCGACCAATATCTCTAGAAAATTATAGAATATTGTCAAACATCTCTAGAAAATTATAAAATATTGTTATATATCTCTGGAAAATTATAAAATATTGTTATGTATTTCTAAAAAATTATAAAATATTGCTATATATCTCTAGAAAATTATAAAATATCGACAAATATCTCTAGAAAATTATAGAATATTGTAAAATATCTCTAGAAAATTATAAAATATCGACAAATATCTCTAGAAAATTATAAAATATCGACCAATATCTCTAGAAAATTATAGAATATTGTCAAACATCTCTAGAAAATTATAAAATATTGTTATATATCTCTGGAAAATTATAAAATATTGTTATGTATTTCTAGAAAATTATAAAATATTGTTATATATCTCTAGAAAATTATAGAATATTGTAAAATATCTCTAGAAAATTATAAAATATCGACAAATATCTCTAGAAAATTACAGAATATTATCAAATATCTCTAGAAAATTATAAAATATTGTCAAATAGCTCTAGAAAATTATAAAATATTGTCAAATATCTCTAGAAAATTATAAAATATTGCTATATATCTCTAGAAAATTATAAAATATTGTTATATATCTCTGGAAAATTATAAAATATTGTTATGTATTTCTAGAAAATTATAAAATATTGTTATATATCTCTAGAAAATTATAGAATATTGTCAAATATCTTTAGAAAATTATAAAATATCGACAAATATCTCTAGAAAATTATAGAATATTGTCAAATATCTCTAGAAAATTATAGAATATTGTCAAATAGTTCTAGAAAATTATAAAATATTGTCAAATTTCTCTAGAAAATTATAAAATATTGCTATATATCTCTAGAAAATTATAAAATATTGTTATATATCTCTAGAAAATTATAAAATATTGTTATATATCTCTAAAAAGTTATAAAATATTGTTATATATCTCTAGAAAATTATAGAATATTGTTATATGTCTTTAGAAAATAATAGAATATTGTTATATATCTCTAGGAAAGTATAAAATATTGTTATATATCTCTACAATATTATAAAATATTGTCAAATATCTCTAGATAATTATAAAATATCGCCAAATATCTCTAAAAAATTATAGAATATAGTTATATATCTCTAGAAAATTTTAAAATATCGCAAAATATCTCTAGATAATTATAAAATATCGCCAAATATCTCTAAAAAAATTATAGAATATTGTTATATATTTCTAGAAAATTATAAAATATTGTTATACATCTCTAGAAAATTATAAAATAATGTCAAATATCTCTAGAAAATGATAAAATATTGTCATATATTCGCATGATAGTTGTACGAAAAGATTCGAACCTACGGTGCTCATTGTTCAAGTACACAGGTAAATATTATTAAACTTTCCTTACTAGTTCATCTTCAGACTCAATCTTCACCAAATCACCACTGAGTTTCTGACATGCGGCACGAGCGTCAGCCCAGCTAGACTTCGGAGCATTATAAACTTCATAGCATTTATGACCAGCTCGAGACCACTGACCACAACCAAAATCATGAGTATCAGACTCTGTTAAACAACAATAAAGATTTATTCTCGTAATTAACAACTGGGATTCATATTTCCTATCTGTTACTAACCCCTATCGTGGTAGCAACAATGGCGTTTATTTCTATAAAACACCAGGTGAGGGGGCCGAGAAATTTTACAGGTCGGCCACAGGCTATTTTTACACTATGTAAAATGATAAACAATTTGACAGTGGAGGGAGGTGGGGTAAAGCTGGGCCGCATCTTTTCTGGAGAGGAGGGGGGGGGGGGGGGGTCCCTGCTCCCTGTTCTTGACAAAGAACGTATATAGTTACTAAGAATGATAATACAAAGTACACAATTCAATCCATGGCTGATGTCAACAAGAGCTAATATGCCAAAATAACAGATCTGGTGGCATAATAACATTATGAAATATAATATGTTGAACTCGCGTGTGTGTGTAATTGTAAACTATTAAAAACTAGAAACGAAATCAACTTACTAGATGCCTGAGGTTTTCTACAGACAAAATTAAATGCTTTATTACAGTCTCTGTCACTGAAAGTCCCTTCTTGGGTTGCTGTAGCACACCATTCCCTTCCTGCCAAATTATCTGGTTCTTGCGTCCATTTTCTAAAGTATAATATGTATTTGTTTGATAGCTTATATCATATCGAAATGAAATGAATGGAGTTTTACGTGCTGCTTTTCTGCACTTTATTGGGCTATGAGTACAACGCAATGCAACGTATTCAGTGTGGAATGAGGGATTTGTGCCAGGACATTAGCATTAGTCGACTACTACGCCCTCTACTCTATTGCCATTTCCAACTGCTGAACCTATAGCACATTTATCTTCGGTTTATTGTCCAACCCGAATGATCCGACCTGCATCACTGACATTGGGAACTGGGTTGGATAATCAGCATCTCGACCTATGCTGTGAATGAATCCTGGAACTGGAGAGGGAAGACATTTGATTGGCAGGAGGTGAATCAGAATGTAAGTTATAAAGAAAGGTTGTTAGACCTTCCACGAGTGATTCATTAAAACAAACGAAAGAAACGGTTGGTCTTATTGTAATTCGACTTAGAATAAATAAACCAAGTACAGTGGTGTAACCTATTTTCGTGGATATAAGGATTCAACACCGAATTTCGTCAAAGTTAAAAAAACGAAAAAAAAATTTATGCCTTAGATGTTTCCTCAGATATTCTACAAAATAATTAAAATTAGTTTATTTCGATTTTCTTTATGAATCTTTCACTTTGACCCATATTTCATGAGCAACTAACTCGGCAACGGCGGCAGAATGTGTCACTTATTTTCGTGTACAATGTTTGATCTATAAATAAGTCGAGAAAAACACGTTGTATGGATACCGGGTGGTATAATCAACTTCTCTTAGTATTTATCTTTAATATCAATTCATTATAACTAGTGACAATTCCTTCAAAGAACCACGATTTAAAAAAAAATAGTGACTGACAAAATAAGATACGTAGCGTGATTTATTGCTAAAAGTCACTGAAACAACATAAGAATATGGTCCACTTTGTGTTCCATAGAAAGTTTCTGCTGACAAGGAATCCGCTAGTTGATCACGTGACATTCGTTGGAATATATTCTAGCAGACGACACTTGGAATTCCGATTACCGCTTGGGATTATAAGGAAATTCGGCCGATAAAAAATGGTGACATTTGGTAATAACTGAAATCCGCCATTTTGTATTTGTCAAAGTATACATACGAATACGAATAATAGGTTTCCACGAAATTAGGTTACTTGACTGTACTAATGAAACCCGAAATCCAAAACACCATATTGACGAAACATTGGTAGCATCTAACAAACTTATCACATGGGGAATAATATCAATCATAAGTGAGTAAGTATATCATAATGAAGAGTGGTATTAGGTGTTAAAAAAATAACTTACATATTTTGAGGATTGTATGTAGGTCCAGTCTTCCAGACCCATATATACTGTCCTTCCTGGTCAATATCATTTAAACCAGTCCAATATCTGGTGTCTGTGTTGTAGAATGGTAAAGTTTTACTAAGAATATCCTGAAAAATATATAGAGTCAACATAGTCATCAAAACTTAGACTCAAACACAAGTGAAGAAACTAGCATGGGAAAGTGTCGGCTTCAGGCTTAAAACGTTAACGAAACGAACGTATAAACGAAATTGGGTAGGCTACTGACACCTTCCTGGCAAAATGTTATGCAGAGGCTGGTGTAATAATTATACCAAATGCAAGTATAAGAAGAACGTAAAAACCCCCTCATGGCATTTTCACTTTCTACTTCTCACTCATTTTCAATCTGATTAAAATACATACATACATATGTATGACAAAATTAAAACAAGTGGTCAGACGACACGTGTCTGATGGTTAGAAATGATTACCCGGAATTCCTCACTAATAGTAAGGGAATCTTTCAATGAACAAATTGGTTGATTGTAAATGATCCAGAACAGAAGATGCACACAATTTCGTCAGATCATAGATGGGTGAGGAGGTAACCAAACAGGAAACAATACATCAAGATTTTCCACATTAATATTGAAGTTGATCATTTACGATTTATGAATACAATGAAAGGATGTTTACGCTCTTCTTTTCCATTTGTTGGTATGCTAAATTCAACAATCTCGATGCAATCAAAGGATCTTGTTATTGGCCTACCCATTATATATTGCCACTATGTGGATCTTTAAACTTCACAGCCTGTAGCTAATGGTTGACACTTTTTCATGTTCATTTCTTCTACTCGCGCTGGCCATTGTCGACAGAAGAAAACAGAGTTGACAAATGAAGTAAACCTATATGGATTGCTGTCCCTTGCCGTGCCTTTCAATCATCTCCCATCAAAACGAATTATTGATATCGCAGTATAGATTTAAAGGGATTGTAAAGAGGTTTTCTAAAAAAAAATATGTTTATTGGGGACACTTATAGCATCGATTTGTACCACTCCAATTTTCAGTCAGACGTCTGTGGATCCCACAATTCCACAAAAGATAAGTGTTTGATGACGTCATTAATCGCAATATAGGCTTGTATCACATAAGGCCTTCTCGAGTAGTGACGTCATCAAACACTTAGTTTTAGTGGAATTGAAGAAACCACAGACATCTGATTGAAAATTGGAATGGTGCAAATTGATGCTACTAGTGAATACACTTGAAAAATTTTGATAACCTCTATACACGCTCTTTAAGACAATACGTTTTACTTACCGAATCACTGTCTACATCAAAGGTCATAAGATGTACGGTAGCGGTCGAGGTCGACATCGACGTACACTTAGCATTAGCTTGCTGCCAAGTTAAAAACTGGCTGGTATCCGTATAATTACTAACCAGAAAACAGTCCTTCTCTCCCTCTGTCCAATCATAGCTGGGACACTCGACTAAAATATGCAACAGCGTATAAAGAAACATTCAGCCCTTTCGTAATGGTGGGGCCCGTGGGGGCTGGGCCCCAGCAAGTGAGGATTAAGCCCCAGCTAAACCTTCTTTAGTTGAGCAGAGATTGATTCATTTATAGTGTATTTATACAAAATCAAAAAGATATAGATTTTGATATGTTTATGGCATCCCAAAATTGTCAGAAATGAGTTCTTTGAAAATATAAATATAACTAGTCGCAACTATGGACATGCAAAGAGAGGAATATCTAGACCGAAATTGATGCTAGATCAAGTTTCTTTTGTATTTGTGTTATGAACATTTTCTAACAAAGATAAGGATGGTAAAAAGTATACTAACATGAGGAAGAGATGTCTGTTTCACAAATATAGGGTAGAGTCGAGGAGCATTGTTCATCACTGAATGTTGCCTGAATACTGATAGCACCACAGTCTTCATCATTACTATTATCAGGTTCTTTATTCCATTTACTGGAATAGAATGGATATAGGTCCTACATTTTCTGCCCCTGATTGGGCTACTGAAGGGTAACGTCTTGCTGTGTGCAATGGAGGAAAATTTGTCAGGACAGTGGCATTGGTGTGGGAGTAAAATCGGTAGCTGTGACACAACGGCTCCCTGATTTACTAACAATTAATATTCTATATAAACATTATTATCCTTGAGAACTATAAAAAAAAAAGACTAGAAGTAGATGTTTCTGAAGTAGGGTTTGCTGTAATTGATTGTAAAGGTGATTTGTAAAAAATTGTATGTGTATCGGGAACACTGAAAGCATCAATTTGCACCATTCCAATTTGCAATCAGACGTCTGTGGTTCCTGCATATCTACATAACTAACCCAGTGTTTGAATGTGGGTGTGAGAGTGAGGGTGTTTTGAAAGGGTGGGTATACCCTATCCTATTGGGATACCTGCTACAATACCAACTTACACGATGCTAAAATCGGGATATTCATCAGTTCCCCATAGCCAGGTGCCCGTAGCTCCGTCCCCATCTGTCTTCAGCTGATTTAACGCTGTCCAATAATCAGCCGCTGGATATCCCTGGAATTTCCGCTTCAAAAATGACTGAAAAGACAAGTCATTGAAATTTGGTGCTGCAATCTGGAAGAATTCTTAAAAGTCTATGGAGAGTTTCCAACATGATACATTCAATACTTCTAGGAAATATTTGAACACAAATTACAATGAAAAAACCGACACCTACCAAAAGACAACGTCTAACAACAATGAAATGTTGTAGATACAAAATGCTATTTATAACAAATTCAACGGGACAATGAACTTAGGCCCTGTGTGCTACAGGCTGTACTTGTTAAAAATCCTTCAACAGTTTGAAATAAATAAAGGGTTAGCTTCAAAATTCCACTTGTCGAGGCCTCTGATTGGCTGTATCTGCTAGCATATGAACTATCGTAATACACAAAATGTGACTATTCTAAGATCAAAGACAAAGGTCGTAATAACTTGATATTGTGAAGACAGCATTTGATAAAATATTGTGCAAATATATCTGCCACAGATAACAGATGACTTATCGTATTGAGTCGCCTTGGAATATTCACTTAGGCACACATTATTAGGCACATTAATATTCAGCACGAAGTCATTTAGGCACAGTAAAGTACCGTGTCAAACTGACTTGGGCTTAAAATATTTGTGCCCAATTGACAGCATACCGTTACCCAAAGGGGGTACTAATACCTTAGGGTTGGGACCAGTGATCTAGCATCTAAGGTGCAGTTTGAAATAGATTGGCATTGTGAAGATGGTGTCCCGATCTGAATTTGAACAATCCTGTCATAAAAAGGACCATCGAGAATCTTATCATTTTAAAAAGTTTTCTCACCAGTTCATCGGCTGATTCAATTCTCACAAGTTGAGCTTGTTTAGCCTCACAGGCCTCTATAGCATGTTGCCACGTTCTATTATCACCATTATTAAAATAATAACAATAGATATCATTAGCTTCCCAGTCAGAATCACATAGTGGGGGGTCGACCGCTTTGATTTCTACTAATAAACATACTGAAAAATAGGATGATAATACCAGTACTGACTTGGTCGTTCTACTGTCCATTATTGTTTTAGATTTCATCGTCTATAGATGACTCTTAAAAGTGTTTGAAATTAAGCAAAGTGCGTGAGTGCTGAGAATCAATCTAACATCAATATAATAGACAATAAGCAACTCTGAGACATCATAAAAACAGTTGACAGAAACTAGTAAAATGAGAAGCTTACCACAGCAAAACACAAAGAAATGAAATCCACCTCCCATTTTTATATCATTTCATCAAATCAGATCATTGCAAAATATATAATTAAAAGGTAAAAGATAAGAGTAACTGATAGAATGCAGACCTTGTATTTATCAAAATATTGATAATATTTTCGTATCTCTTTATCATCTCCTACATGGTCGTCGTTCATACGAAATTATCGTCTTCAGCTATAAAGCAGATTGTGACACGATATCAGTGAGCAACCATTGATCTATAGTATCCTGACCATCTAGCTAGTAGAATGAGACACGATAGCAGTTAGCAACCATTGATCTAAAATATCCTGACCAACTAGCTAACAGAATGAGACACGAGTTCAGTGAGCAACCATTGATCCAAAATATCCTGACCAACTAGCTAACAGAATGAGACACGATAGCAGTGAACAACCATTGATCAATAGTATCCTGACCAACTAGATAGCAGAATGAGACACGATAGCAGCGAGCAACCATTGATATAAGTACTAGTAATATTACACCCATTTTATATCACTGTATTTCATATACGTAATTCAACAGCTGTTGGCCTGGCAAGAATAACTTTTTGTCCATAATTAATGGTCGTTTTATTCTCTTTTGCCGACGAAGACTTGTAAGCAAAAATCTATTATGGATGCTGATGGTCACAGAGAACTGTTTTAGGTAAATAGATAGTTTTCTGTGGTCAAAATGCATCCTCGTTATCACCACCATGCAGCCACATTCGTGACATTCAAGCGAAGACAGACTATTGTTCAACAATTAACAATATTACCTATAATCGACAGGGCTATCGAGCCGACAAACCCAGCCGCAAATGCTGAAGAACAAGGGCATGTCTGAACTCGATAGCTAAACTGCATTACTTCTATTATATTCCCTCCACATACACGATTTTTCTTAGGAGTCCTTACGAATCGCCAACTCGTAGGCATCATACGAGTTATTAATCAGATTGTTGCCACGGATAACTACGAGCAACGAACTGGCATTTTAAGAGTTGTATACTTGTTGATACGATTTTGTAGATTTTATACCTTTCTACAAACAGAAAACTTTGCATGAGAATACGTATCTATTCGTAAATTACTCGTAACTACATCAAAAGAAGAGTTTTGACAAATCCTTATGAGTTTCTGCAACTTGTTACACAGAAACCAGCGAGTTATTTATGGAAGCTTGCGGTTAACTAAGAGTCAGCGATTCATAGGACTCATAAGAAAAATTGTGTATGTGTCGGGGGTATTAATTGATCTATTGGAAACACGGACCTGGAGTTTATAGGCTAAGGTTTAACCTTCATAAGTATTTTAACTAGCAGATTCATCGGTCTATTTGTGTGTAATATATGTAATGTAAACAAAATATATTAGCCATGTGGACTTTCCGAAAAAGATACGTTGAGTTATGTATTATCTGCCTTCTGTTGACATCTTCTGTAACTTGTTTTTAAATGTGTATCCACATGTAAATTTTCAACTCCTGGACGTTTTTTCCAATTTTTCTCATCTGTACAGTTTGATCATATCACTGCATTGACAAACAAGCGTGCTACAAGAAAAGTGTTAAAGTTAAGTGTTAAGTGTTAAGTATGAGATGGAGTTCTTAAAACCATGATATTGTGAACATGCTCCGTAGTTTGAGTATTGGATGTCGCTTTCAGAAAGTCGACATTTTCTTTAGTAATATGCGCTTATACCACATACTGTCATCTTCACAAGGTCAAGGTATTACCAACTGTGTCTGCCACATTTCTTGAAAGTACAGGTAGTCTCTGACGTCAAACTATACCTGTCTTTGACGAGGTTATAGTCTTGGAGTTTTCATTGAAATTTCTATATTTCATAATTTTATCCGCTGATGTTATATTTTTCGATTTGTTAAGTGCAAAGAATTCAAATTCGAAGACATGGTCATAATAACTGAATTATTGTAATTAATTTTTCCCATCACCAAAATGGATGTGGATTAACAACCAATCACATGCAATAACCACTGTAGCCTCGGTCATTTACAAAGATACTAAGCAACAGGTCCAGGCCCTCTTTCGCCGAAGCTGTACGTAGACAAAGAGGGACTGGATAATAGGGGCTTTCCTTCCATTGAATGCCGCCACGTGTGTTTAATTGTGGGGCGTGGTTAAGAGTTTGGACGGACTCCCATATTGAAATAAAGTGAAAAAAGACAAGAATTTGGCGAATATATTTTTATTCAATCGAGTTCGGAAGTTAAAGATTAATTTTCATAAACATTATTAGTCAATATATTAAAGGTACGAGTTAATAAAAGAAATACATGTATGGTGACAGTTTATTCGCGGACAAATGGTTTTCTTTTTCATTTAAAAATCATTTATTTTCTCCTCCAGATTATTAAGTAATTCATTCAAATTTCTTTCTCCGATATCTTCATCTCCTTCTTCCCTTTCTGTTAAATATAAACACATTTAATGGTTAAAGTCGTCTTATCTTATTAACATTTAGTTAAAACCAAATAAGGTAAGAAATACATTTATATATATTTTGGTGTATAGTTTTCATTAATTCGAGAGCCTCGCATTCCGAAACTACTTCAGACTTCAACCAGACTGCCACTTTAAAGCGAAGATTTTACTTACTGCCACTAGACTTCTTAGGACCCCTGTAGAATAAAGTACACAGTTGTCTGATATCATTCACCATCTCGTATGGGCAGAAAATGCACCGTTTAGGATGATACTTCTGACAGAAAGAGTGGATACCTTTCGATAATGGTCTTGGTCCACTCGTATCCAACCTTCGTTCTACTTCTGAAATAGAATTCAAGTTTTGGAAAACTAATAACGGTCACATAAATGAGAACTTGGATCAAACCTGCGGACACAGTTAAGAAAGGTGTATCTGTAAGAAAAGCTGTGCAGTGTTCAAATTCTATGAACAAATAGAACGTGCAGGCGTGGAGAGTCAGTGGCGGAGCCAGGTTTACGTCCGAGAGGGGGCGATGCCCCCTCTGCCCCCCCCCCCCCCCTTTGGAGACTGGGGCCAGATACCAGGTACCACAAAATCGAGAGGTAGGCGCAAAAGGCGTCCCAAATCTTTAAGGGGCACCAAAAGCCCTTAAATAACAGCAGTGTCTCTCTCAAAATATTATAAAAAATCATATAACATGTATTCTTTAATAATTGTTATACCTAACTGGTAAATAAAACACAATAACACCCCTGGATATCGCTTCTCGAGTTTCATGGCGATAATATACAGTGGTGTAACTTATTTTCGTGGATATAAGGATTCAACACCGAATTTCGTCAAAGTTAAAAAAACGAAAAAAATTTTATGTCTTAGTTGTTTCCTCAGATATTCCACAAAATAATTGAAATTGGTTTAATTCGATTTTCTTTATGAATCCTTCACTTTGATCCATATTTCATGAGCAACCAACTGGGCAACGGCAGCAGAATGCGTCACCTATTTTCGTGTACAATGTTTGATCTATAAATAAGTCTAGAAAAACACGTTGTATGGATACCGGGTGGTATAATTAACTTCTCTTAGTATTTATCTTTAATATCAATTCATTATAACCAGTTACAATTCCTTCAAAGAACCACGATTTAAAAAAAAATAGTGACTGACAAAAAAAGATACGTAGCGTGATTTATTGCTAAAAGTTACTGAAACAACATAAGAATATGGTCCACTTTGTGTTCCATAGAAATTTTCTGCTGACACGGAATCCGCTAGTTTATCACGTGACTTCATCCGTTGAACTACATTCTAGCAGACGACACTTGGGATTATATCAAGGAAATTCGGCCGATAAAAAAATGGTGACGTTTGGTAATAAATGAAATCCGCCATTTTGTATTTGTCAAAGTATACATTAATAATTTTACCTTGCTTGAAACTACTGGATTCATTCTACTAGCTGATATTGTACAGAAAACCCATGTTTATCAAAACAAACTAATGCGGAGGTCGCGCAAGGTCGCTCATGTAAATTATTAATCCTTTACGGTAATCCACGAATAATAGGTTTCCATGAAATTAGGTTACTTGACTGTAATATGTCTCTATTACCAAAATGCGCAAAAATGTAATCTAAAAAGTGTATATATAGCGAAAGTAACTTATCCTCAAAATTAATGTTCCGTATTCATCTTTTAGAATTACCTTCATTGTATGCGTGGATAGTCACAAATACTGCTATCAAAACCACTAAGCATTGAAAATTCAACATGTTCTTAAATCTAAAATAAAAAGGCGAAAAAACAATCTCAAAAAGACAAAAATTGAGATTTGTCATGTTTGCACATTTCCATCATGTATTCAACAATCATGTATTCAACAATCGACTTTTCAAAAAAATATTTACATATTTGCTGATAAAACCGTATGTCAGGTACCCTCTTAATTTGTTCGTATAGCTAACGAATGGTGTATACCTCACATGTAAGCAGAACAGTAGATTCGCTAAGGTTAGGATAGGATTTACCGTGATCTGTTTTTTTTATTAGGGTTGCGTTTCAGTTTGCGTAGGCCTACGTATTATGTTATCTTAGCTTTAGACTATGGAAAGATTCAAATGCACGAAAAAGCCTTAGATTTCTGATTCAACCATTGTGTCAGACAACGCCCAAGCCTGACCACACAACCCAATCAAATACTGGATAAAACCAAATGTTAGATATCGACTTAGCCTGCCAATAGAGCTGAATGTCAGGTTCCCTTATTTTCATTAATTATGAAAATGAAAATGCCAATACGTAATGCCAAGACTTAACCAGCCAATAAAACTAGATCTAAATATTAGAGAACGCACAAGTCTACTTGTCTATGCCTATCCATAGAGCTGTCAGATAACGTCATTGATATTTTAATAGAGCTCAGTATCAAATACCAACCTTGACCTGTCGATACAGGAATGACGCCTTGAAGCGACCATAGAGCTCAATGTCACAAAACATCTTATCCTGCTGATTGAGCTAAATGTCAGGAAACGTCTTATCTTGCTGATAGAGCTAAATGTCAGGAAACGTCTTATCCTACTGATGGAGGTCAATGTCAGTAAACGTATTATCCCACTGATAGGTTCCCTTATTTTCATTAATTATGAAAATGAAAATGCCAATACGTAATGCCAAGACTTAACCAGCCAATAAAACTAGATCTAAATATTAGAGAACGCACAAGTCTACTTGTCTATGCCTATCCATAGAGCTGTCAGATAACGTCATTGATATTTTAATAGAGCTCAGTATCAAATACCAACCTTGACCTGTCGATACAGGAATGACGCCTTGAAGCGACCATAGAGCTCAATGTCACAAAACATCTTATCCTGCTGATTGAGCTAAATGTCAGGAAACGTCTTATCTTGCTGATAGAGCTAAATGTCAGGAAACGTCTTATCCTACTGATGGAGGTCAATGTCAGTAAACGTATTATCCCACTGATAGAACTAAATGTCTGAAAACGTCTTATCCTACTGTTGGAGGTCAATGTCAGTCAACGTCTTATCCCACTGATAGCGCCCAGTGTCAGTAAACGTCTTATCCCACAGATAGCGCTCAGTAACAGGAAACGCCTTCTACTACTGATAGAGCTAAAT